TTAAAGTTGCCAAGGTTGGACACCCCTGGTTTAGATCTCTTAGCTTGAAATGAAAAAGGGAAAAACCAAACCTCTAAATTTTTTTTCCTTCTTCCAGTTTTTAGATGTTGTGCAGTTTGTGCACCAGAAGTGCTGGAAAGTGGGTGATATCTTTCATGCTGTGGTACAATTTTGCAAGCTCCATGAAGAAAGTAAAGGGCCAACTCTGAGTCTCTTTGACTGGCTTCTTGAGCTAGGATAAAAACCTTCTTAAAATATATTGTTTGCATTTTTATTCCATTTTAAGCAGCAGTGATCTGTGAGTGGCCCTGTTTTATTCAAAATCTCAACATAAATAGAGCTGAAAAGTATACATTCTGCTGCTATATCATGACCCTGTTCCAAAGCAGTGCAAAGAAGGGAAGGGAGGAGGGAGGACAGGGCAGAAAGAGAGAAGTGAAGAGCCAATGTAAAATATTACTACATGAAGGACTTGGTAGCTTTGAATGCATTGCTCTTGAAAAATATGCAGTTAAATGACTGGTGTTTTTTTTTTACAAAATCTAAATGAAAAAGACATTTTCCATATTCTGCCAGCTATGTACTAACTGCTAACTGAAATCCCCGTAACAAAATTCAGTTTTTAAAAAAACTTCGTATTTATAGTTCAAATGCCTGATTATATGACAAACGAGTACATGTCCTTAAATAAATTCTATATTGTTCTGCTTTCAATCTATTCCCAAGGAGCAAATTAAGGTCTATGCTGACACTGCACTGAAAAGCCTGAAAGTCATTCCACAAATGTGTCCATTCTGCTGAAAGAATTAAGCCCAATAGCTTTTTAAACGAGTTCTTAAAACTCTTGTCCAGTCAGTATAATGCTGGTCTGTCCTTTAGTAGAATTGAGTCTCACTGGGAATGCTAGACAACAGCCTGAATGGCCGTTGTCAGAATATTAGCATTTCCTAGTTTTAACAATGATTAATGTGCTTTATAAAACTATTTCTAATTTCTGAATAAATAATAGAAACATGTACTCTGAGTAAGTTTGCAGTGGGTTCAGTCAGGAAGTAAATAGTCATTTAGCTCCAAAAGTAAAATAAGTTAAATTAGGCCAACCTGGAAAATAATGGCTTTCCATTATGCCTTAATAGGAAGATTGTACTGATGAAATGTTTCATACTATTAACAGTTTATTTCTAACATCATTAAGCTAATATATCCTTTTATTGTAAATATTTGAAGTATAGTACATAAGGTTTTTCTTACAGAAAAATGTGCTTGTCAAAAGCTAGTATGTTGCTACTCAGAAAAATAGTTCTCATCCTACTCATTTTTTGTAACAGCTAAAGAATCTGATTTTAATATATACAGTAATCAAGAAAGTACATTAGGTTGCAGTCAAAAAAATCTCCAGCTTACTACCTGATAAATAGCTCCAGTACAACTTGCCAATATCATTGCTAATAGTTTCCATTGTGGCGCTACTATGATATTGAACATTTATTTCACAAAAAGGGGTGCTTTTCACTACAGAATAATGATTTTTAGAATGTATCCAAAAATAACATTATTTTGCACTATTTTAGAAGCAATTTTTAATTCAGTATAGCCATAATTACCACAATTTCCCAATCATGCCTGCCCTTTCTTATATACACAGCAAAGATATTGTCAGCATTTCTATCAATTTAAGTGGCTTTATGGAAAATAATCATTCTATAGTACATGAGAAAAGAAGAACTTTGGACTACTTTGAAAAAGTACCATTTCCTAAAACGTTTATCAGTATGTGTTTGCATTCAGAAATCAATAATACATCATTAGAGATTGATATAGTGTCGAAATATATTTATTTTTGACCAATGGCAAATTAGTTGTGAATTACACAGATTTTGCAGTGGTAGAATAAATGTTTACAAGCACAAATAATATAACAATGTAACAATGTGATGACATTTCTCTCTGTATATTACATTTTAGTACTGAAGCCTGACTTGAAATAAATTTGTGTTAACAATCTGCCTTTATCTTTCTTAAATCCAATTCTGAATATCCTTTGTATGCGATACAGATGAAATAAAGCATTGTTGTACAATTATTTAGTAGGAGAGATAAGTTCTGTACAAATCATTACCAGCAAGATCAGACTACCAGTAAACCTAAAAGCCTATTAAGTAATTGATATTTAGCCCTAATGCAAGGGTCTTCAAACTTGGCAAGTTTAAGACTTGTGGACTTCAACTTCCAGAATTCCTGAGCTAACATGACTGGAGGAGGAATTCTGGGAGTTGAAGTCCACAAGTCTTAAAGCTGTCAAGTTTGAAGACCCCTGCCCTAATGTAAGATATAAGATTAGATTCATATACTCGTATATTCTGAGCCTATATCTATGCAAATAATATTTCTCTCACTTCTGATATGTGGAGTTTTTGCTTGCAAATAGATACATTTTAGTAGCAGCTGAATAGTTTCATTTAATTTTTCTATTTTTCATTTAATAGTTTCTATAAACTTTTTGAAGGTATGTACTACAGAAACAAATAAGGTTTCACCTTCCACATCTGAAAAGGTGCTATGTTTTGTAAGGTAGAAAATAGTGGTCCTTTGATATATTAGAGCAGGGTCCTTTGATATATTAGAGCAACGGCAGCATCACGTGACGTATCGAGACTTTTTCCCCCTTCGCTACACCGGGCAGGAGCGGGGCTACCACATGATGCATCTGGTCCACGGTTTAAAGGTTTCACCTGACATTTTTAGCTTTCTTCATTAAAAGGAAACTATACATAGTGTAGAAAAAAGTTCAGATAAGCCAGCAAGCTGATATTTCCAGAACCATATAACAAAATCTAAAGATTCCCACACATTTACAACTAAGCTTTATGCCAGCATCTGGATATTTTGGAACACAATGATGCTTTGCTGACAGCAACAGTTCTTTAACACTATTCGAAACAGAAAATTAGAAAATCATTTCTAATGCCTAAGAAATGATGAATCATAAATAATAATATCAACAAATTCTGGTTTATACAAGAATTATACAAGAGTTAACATAAACAACATTGCATGAACTTTGGGGCAGGCATTTTCCTGGATAGCCTGCTCATATAGAAGCCCAAATTAGCAGCAGATCAGATTAGAAGGCTCTGTAAAAGTAACATCAAGTTCTTGAGAAGAAAGACAGTTCACATTAAAAGAGAAGACATGTAGGTTATGCTGTTTCAATACTACTATGACTCTCACAATTGAATGCCAAAATCAGTGTAATCATTTTCATTTCAGCTTAAATCTTTCAGGATGGGACAAACCATAAATATAAACTGCACTTTAAAAAAAAATCAAGAAATAGAAGTGTACAATATAAATTCAAAATTAAGTCCCAAATATAAAATATGAATAGAACATTCCAATCAATACTACAATGATATTTACATTATAAATATTGAAATGTTTTATTAAATAAAATTAAACTTTGTAAGGATAAAGTATCTAAATGAATGCAAGAGTAACAACTAATAGTATGCTGAAGCCTCCTCACTCCAACTAGCCTATAGATCTTTAGAGAAAAAAGGCATTTCTTATAATTTTCTCAATAACACATTTTTACATAACTAGCCAAGTTAATTCCAGAAAATATTTTTGGTTCATAAAGAATATAAAGGACAGATGCAAAAAGCAGATTTTTAAAAGATTAAAAACACTGAATTAAAATTCTATATAAAAGCACTGAATTAAAATTCCTAGAGAAGTGGGTCAGCCTTTGTTTCAATTAGCGCCATATCCTACACGTATTATCTTTGCTTCCTAAAAAATAGAGAAGAATATAACATTAAGTGTTAAAAAATTTTTATAACCATAATGTCTAAACAACAGTCTAAGGGTTTACATGCTGGATCACGAAAGTATTATATTTTATCTCAAGCACTATCCTTGTTTTGTTTGTAATCAGTAATGCTCTTAATCTCAAGTAATTCAACACAGTTATTACTTTTTTTGAAAATTAATCTTGCTGGCTTTATACCTAAAAAACCATTGTGCTATTCTTTAATTATAGAAGAAATCATTATTTTCAGCCCAAATATATTCAATAAAAGCTCTCCGAAAGGATTAAAAAAATCTTTACTTGAAATCTTGGCAACTCTGTATTCTGAGAATATGCTATAGTGATGCACAGACTAATGGTCCAGATCAATATAAAGCAGTTTTATATACTATAGCTTTTTAACAGTAAGCCAAAAAGCAGTCATTCATAAGATACAGCTTCCCACAATTATACTTTCAAGCTTATATTGCTTAGTTTTATATGTAATACAACTGTTAAAAATAAACCATAAAATGAGGCAATTACAATTCCTCGTACATGGATTACAATGTTGAGTAAGCTAGCACTCAACAGTTTAATCCATAAATAGGTTACATGATACATCGACTAAGTTATGGCTTAATGTCTGGTCTAATTCAGATCACAGGCAAAAAAAGGCAAATGTGACTGGAATAATATTGCTTTCTCCAAGTCTTCTTTTGTTGCAATGTTTAGCAATATGCAGAAGTAACACTTCAGCTACTTCTGCTTAACCTTTTCATGACAGAAGTGTAAGCAAATATTGAAATCTGAAAGTTGTTTTACTCTCACGTAAGAGATGAGAAATGTAAATACATCAATCCCCTCCAAACCAAACTAATTTAATCCAATATGTATAAAATGTTTCTGGACTAAGAAAAACTGGGAAACTCTTTATTTCACATTGCTTTATTTTTATTCACAACTACCTGATAAAACATTTCAATTGAACTATAACAATTGTATTTCAGACTATGTACTAGTTACCTGTAATAATTATATTCCCTTTGTAATTGAAAGCACAGGAAAATATCTCATCAGTGTGGCCTTCCAATATTTGAATGCATTGTCCTGTCTTGGGCTCCCAAAGGCGAGCTGTCTTATCTGAACTGGCTGTAAGAATACGACTTCCTTGAGGATTGAAACAGATCTTTAAAAAATGATAAAATGATATTTTTTAAAAATAGCTAAGGAAGTAGAATACTTTATTGTAGTTTGTCATCACTTCTACTACTATTTTATGCATGCAGCCAAGTGGGTGGCTTTAAGCTAGTCATGATTAAGTAGATTTAGGTCACTGAAACAGAATGAAGTTTTTCATGGCAAGTCACCAGAAACTGATTCACTGTCTTTCTTCTCAGTATGGTACTTATAATTATTTTGCAAAATTAGAGAAGTAAAAAATGTAGGAAAAAATTATGAACTAATTTAAGATTAATTAAATTGTAGACTTAATTATGAACTAATGGATTAAAATGTATGTCAGAAAACATCAAACAGTGTTACCTAGATTGTTATAGTTGCATATCAAAGTAGCAAGTCAGAGGTTGAAGATTGTTACATGTCACACCCAGTAAGGAGTAAAAATGAAAAGAAGCAGATATAAGTTCTAGGAAAAATGTGCAATGTTCTGAATTAATATGATATGTGAAAACAGTTATACAGTAAACAGTTAACAGTAAGCAGTCTGTAGGTGACGTGAGTGGATGAATGAAAATGAGATGAGGCAGTACAAAAAAAATGTGATCGGCCAGCCAAGTACTACAGATGACATTTTTCGCAACATTGCTTTGAACAACCTCTCTTTGTTTTGAATATATAGCTTAAGCATAAATCTATTAATGTATACACAACAGGGAAGGAATTTAAAAGCATGATCAATTTGAAAGCATTATTGGAAGACTCAAGAATGATTAAAATTGTAGAGATTGGTAGAAAGGCAGTTAAAGGTATGTGCAAGTAACTGCTACATTACTTTCTAAATGGATGATGATGATGATGACAACTTATATACTATCTTTTACCCCACAGGGTGCTCTATCTCAATGAAATGTGCAAATTATTAACTGATGGTGCTTAATTTCTATTGCATTATACCCACGTGACCTGACATTCAAATAACTAGACAATAACAACTTGAGTGCCCTGAGAGCTATTGCCTCCTCCTATAGTTAGAGACAGAACTAAATAAAACTATATTTAGAATACAAAGACAAAGAAAAAACATTTCTTGGTCATATTCAAATAGAAAAATATTTTATGAAAAATAAACAGAACTGCCAAAATTTGAGCTAGAACAGCAGTATGAAAGTATTTAAAACATTTAAAACATTTTACCTTTGAAATTTCTCCTGTATGCCCTTCAAGTTTTGCCACACATTTTTTTGTTTCTGCATCATATACTCTTGCTGATCCTTTGGTTAAAAAAAGGAGAAGCTAAATAGCTTAATTACATTTTTGCTAAATATTAATAAATTCAAATAAAATTCTGGTATAGATAGAAGTTATACACTTCTATTTATGACTATACTGTTCTAAACATGTTTATTTGCAAATAAACTCTAGGGGAACTTACTTCTAAGTAACATACATGGTCTAGAGAGCCCCCAATGCTCTCTAATCATTGAAAGAAACAGGTTGCAATGCAAATAAATAAAAGTATGATTGCTTTAAAAGGTGTGGTTATAAGTGACTTTGAAATTTCTGAAGTTCTTTTGTTGATTAAATTTATTTCACAAAAGTATGATAAAATATGTACTCAAATGTTATATCCTTATGAGAAACATTCCTTTGAGATTATTAGATAATTCAATAATTGAAAATGACATGAGCATATGAATACCCCTAGACATTAAATATCTATGGAGATTCTCAGTCATCAAGGTCACAGTTGCCCCAAAGGTGCTTTTTCAAGAGGCAACTGGACTTTCATGTTTTTCTTTGAAGACAAGGAATAATGGATGGAAACTGAACAAGGAGAGATTTAACCTGGAAATAAGGAGAAACTTTCTGACAGTGAGAACAATTAACCAATGGAACGGCTTGCCCTCAGAAGTTGTGGGAGCACCATCACTTGAGACTATCAAGAAGGGATTGGATTCCATCTGTCAGAAATGGTGTAAGGATCTCTTGTTTGGGCAGAGAGTTGGATTAGATGATCTCACAAGGCCTCTTCCAACTCTGATTATCTGTTTTCTGTTATAAGACGTTTCACTTCCCATCCAAGAAGCTTTTTCAGCTCTGATAGGATGCTGGGGAATGGAAGGATTTATATTCCTAGCAGACAGATGGTAATTTGCACTCTTTTCAAGCAGTGGTTGCCAACCGGTGGGCCACGGCCCACTGGTGGGCTGTGAGAAAATGTTGGTGGGCCGCAGAGAAATCTCATCCCCGGAGCACCCCCACAAAGCAATTAATCCAGGCTGTGCAGAAACACAGGGCTATGCCGCCCACATGGCCCGCAGGAACCCTCCCCGCCCACTCACTCCTTACCCAGTAAACTTGCCTGCTAAATTGCTATTTTTCCTTTTTCCGACCATCATATGTTCTGCTGTGCCGGGAGATTTAGATTAGCTAGGAAGCAGGAAATGGTTGGATTTCTTGCTTTCTAGCTAGTCTTTTGATCTTCGGCTCAGCACAGCCAAACCTCCCTTAGGACTGAAGGTCTGCTTGCAAGCAAATTAAGTGCAAACTCACGGCAAGCAAATTTGAGAGACTGAGCTAGCTGATGGCAGATAGATAGATCACTGAATGATTCTGTGAGCAACTCAATCTGCCTGCTTTGCCTGATTTTGGGTAAAAGTTGCTCTTTTTTTAATAAAAAATTCAATATTTACATGCATGGTGTGTTGTGAGTTAATTTTGTGAGTTTGCTTGCAAGCAAATTTTATGTGACAGACTGAGCTAGCCAATGGTAGATAGATAGATCTCTGAATGAATCTGTGATTCTGTGAGCAATTCAATCTGCCTGCTTTGCCTGATTTTGGGTAAAAGTTGCTCTTTTTTTATTAAAAAATCAATATTTATATAAATATTTATAATATTTACATACAAGCCATGCCCAGCCAGTCACATGACCACCAAGCCACACCCACAAATTAGGCCATGCCCACAGAACCGATTAGTGGTCCCTGGGATCTAAAATTATGGGTTTGGTGGTCCCTGAGGTCCAAAGGGTTGGCGACTCCTGTTTTAGAGAGTCATTGGAGGCTACTTAGACGTTTGTCTGTGTCCTCAGGGTCACCTGAGTAGTGCAAATGAGAGTGGAGCCTTCTTGGAACAGATGAAAGGACTGTGTTGTGGAGCTGTGCTTTCTGCAGGATGTTTTTTGCCCTGTGTCCCTTCACTGTTGAACATAGGTGCAGGCTGTGGGAATGAGTCTGTGTGTTGTCTGTATCTCAAACTTAGCAATTTGCAGACTATAGGGCTATAGGAATCATTTGCACTTCAGTTTGAGAGGAATACCTTCTGACAGAATGTAAAACCATTTTAGTTTTTCAGAACTCCTCTTCACCTACCATCAGCTGAGGCACTTGCAATACGCTGGCCAGTATAATCAAAACAAACATCTAATACTTCATCATCATGGCCTGTTAAGGTTGCCACCCGCTTGCCTGTCAAAGCATTCCAAAGCTGCAATGTGGAGGGAAAGCATTAAACAACACACACAAATAAATTGAGGCAATCAAAAACATTATCTTTTTATGTTATACTGGACTTTCATTGCAAGTATAGCTAGCCTTTAAACTTTTTCTTTAAAAAAAACATAGAGCTAGTGTAAAGCAGAGTAAAAATAGTTTCTATGACAATGTAAATTAGACATTTATTGAAATAATTTTTAAGGCAAGATGTTCTTTTACAGAATTGTTTGGGACAGATTTAGTTTGCCAGATTTCAATATATAGTTGTTTCTTTTCCAACCAGGTTAATATGTAGTGTATTATTCTTGTTGCTGTTCCTATTCGGTTTACATATGTTCAGAAATCACTTGGTGTGGTATTTCTAGAATTTAGTCTTTGAACTAAAAGTGTGACAATTATATTACTAAATGGCTGAACAAAAACCTGACCCATAGGCTTCCAGTACTGTATAGTCAATATGATCATGCCTATATCTTTAATATCTATATCCCATATCTTATAATTGAGGCTCTGGCTGAAACATACCATTCTCCAAAGTTCTAGGACATCTGGCTCATATCTCTGATTGTTTCTATTAGAGTGTAACAGTTTATATGCTTTTAGCATATAACCTGAACTATGATTCTTATAAAATTATATGCAGGAAGCAATATTCCATTGCTTGGATTTACATCTCAGAAATCCAAAGAAGACATAGCCAACTGAATCTTTTTGCTGGATCAAATGTTTTAGGGGAATAAATAAACCTTTTCAAATAAAAATTTATTATAACCTACAATACACTATTGTACCATGCATGTTTTGTCCATAGATCCAGTGACGATCAGAGTACAATCCCAGTTGAATTGTGCGCTACTTATTTCTGCACGATGGCCTATTAAAGTATGCATTCTCCTGATGGGAAAGAAAATAAATGTCAAATTAAATGGTAATTTAAATTGATATATATGATTCACAGACATCCTAGGAAAAAGTTAGAAAAATGCTACAGATAGTGCTATCCTTGATATGTTTATTTAATAAGTATCACAAGAAGAAAAAGTTATACCCCAATAAATATGCACAAAAATGCAACCCTGGTGTTAAAATATGGTGTTTTTTTTTCTCTAAAAGCTTACACAGTAAAACCTAATGAGTGGTTTGCATTGTATTTATTTTCTAAATGCATATCAACATTTTACTTTATAAAAATATGGAAAATTAGTTTTAAAATGTACAAGGTTGCATAGTAAATATATTGTATAAGCCAAAGAGACTATAATTTCTCCATTAGGGGCCATAACAATTAACTAAAGATCATTACTGTTAGTTTGGCAAAATGATAACACACTTTCTATCACTTCAGCTTTGGTTAGGTGATGCTATGAAAACACTCTATGCCTTACAGGGGAAATGGACCCAGTTGGCTTGTGTTAAGTCTGAATAAGTTACACTTTAAGAGGCAAGCATTTCAATTTTGAAGTTTATCAGTTCTTGAATTACATTGCACTTTAGTGATATTCTTTTTATTAAAGAATAACCCTAGAAAGCCTCTTTGGTATAATGGTTAAGGAGCCAGGCAAGACACCAGGAGACTGTGAATTCTAGTCCTGCCTTAGGCATGAAACCAGTTGGGTGACCTTGAACCAATCACTGTCTCCCAGCCCCAAAAAGGAACGGCTAAGACACTTCTGAAAATCCTTGCCAAGAAAACTGCAAGACTTTTCCAGGCAGCTGTTGGGATTCAATTCTGATTCAAAGGCACAAAAAGAAAAAAAAATCCATAACTCCATAGCAAGTATTCTTTTAAGCCCCATGTCCAGGAAGATAATGCAACTTATATTTGCATAATATAAATAGATATTATAATAATAATAATAATAATAATAATAATAATAATAATAATAATAATAATAATAATAATCATAATAATAATAATAATAATAATAATAATAATAATAATAATAATAAGGAAATATTTGTAGCTCAGGGCTGAAATGAGGGAGGCCTTGGTGTTCTCTGAGCTTGGCTGTTTTCTTGCAGATGTTTCATTAACTGGTAGCATTATCAGCGCCGTTTTCTAAAATCAGAGAATGCAGGGAAACCAAATGGTGGGGCAATCAGATCTAGGCTACAAATGTACAGGCAATCATGAATTTTCTATATCTC